TTCTGCTGATTCCTCGTTACTTTTTTTTCCTCCACTTTTTATTTCCTCCTCCAACTGTTCCCTGCTGCTGGCCAAATCTGGCACCCGCGAACCCTAACCCATTCCATCTATTCGGGCGCTACCCTGCCCGGCCCAGTGCCCTTCTCCTCACATGACTCCTCCTCGCGCTCTTCTTAATACTCCTACCCCACTGAGTCGAGAGAAGTGAGATTGACCCTCCAGCTATAGAAGCATTCGCCATCGGTAGCTTCCCCCCCCTCCAACTCTCCCCCGCCGTTCTTCAACTTCTTGATCTTAAGGGCTTAGTTCTGTAAGTTGAGCGCTTTATCATTTACAAATGCAACCGGATTGAAAAAGTATTCAATTCGTGGTGCACATGCTAGAACGGCACGAATAATAGCCAAGAGGCATTTCCAGGCCCAGAGGCCAAAATACAACTGCCCCATGCTGCGCCCTTTTCCCCTCTCTCCGGGACCCTTATGGGACCAAGAACATGGGGAGCGAGCTCTTACAAATACCGGTATACACAATATACAAGAGCTAGTGTCAAGTATACTGCCCGAACAAATTCTCTATCACACTTACAACTCGCGATAGGATTCATCTCGCGCTGATGGACCAACTCTGGCACTTGGGGTGGAAACGGACCTTTCGACAGAAACATCCGCCACGATCAGAGAGCTGAGGCCAGGTGGTCTGTGCAGCAAAGCTCTCTGATGCGGGCCAAGGGAAATAACAGTACACGGTGGCCAGAGAGAAAGCCTAGCTTAAAGGCTCGTTGATCCTCGCCAAAGATATAGGTGCTCTGGTATAGTGTGAAAAGTCCAATAGTGTGTACAAGTGGATTTTCACAATGTAATGCCTTATGTGACCGGGGTAAGGGAAATTTAACGACCATGCCATCAAGATGCACGGGATTCACTAGCTCCGATGTCTAGGGGGTCCACTATATGATGATTTTAATTGGATCAGCGGATTGCGAATACAGATTAATTAGGTCCAGCATATCTAGTGGGTTGATTTTGTACCCTGTTCAGATAACTCTAATCCTTCTCCGGAGCTTTGACTTAGGATACACGGATGGTGAATTCCCAGAGTTCTTACTGCAATGGACCTTGGGCCAAAATTCAATTCTCCCACCTGTGTATGTCCCCTACCCGGACCCTGTTTCCGAGCTTTTCTTTTATACTTAGGAGAGAGGTGGGGGCGTGGCTCTTCAATTTTGAGACAGATTTATGGTGATCTTCTGTGATCCTATACTCCCTCCGAAGTTAGATAGGAACAGAGGCACAAAAGCCACCGCAGAGATAACCAAACAGTCGGCCACCGAGGACCCATCGAGAATAGCTTATCTTGGGGGACTCCGCCTTCGACCTACCTCCCGCACCACCAATCTCCCATAAAACCCTGCGAATCCCCGACCAAAAAAAATCAGTACTATTCATTAACTGCTCCTTGCATAGAATACAGCACAAGAAAGGAAAGCCTAATGGAGAAAAAACAGGGTCACCCAATGCCTGTAACTTGGCAGAAAATACGAGGGAAGGTTTCCGGCGAGATCTCTACGTATCTATCAAATAGGTCTTATTGTGCTGTGGGGGCAAGACCAACTGCAAATGGAGCAAATCCCTTTCCACCCAATTGAGATCCGAACTAGTCTGGGCTAGTTTCATTGTACCGAAAAATATCTTTTTTCTCGAGAATCCCCTGTCTCGCTTTCCCTCTGCCGAGAATAGTAGTTCGTTGAGCTAAGGTGGAATTCTATTCTCCGGGCCGGGTTAAGGGGGGCGCAAGACACAGGAAGAATTTTCTCCTCTTCTAGGATGCCGTACCCATCTTCTTGAGTTGGTTAGCCGTTGGTTGAATCTTCGGCCCAGGGTGCAGGAGCCCTTGGCCACTGCTCAGCGAGTGCGTACTGCAGAGCTTTAAGGGGTGTTTGAGGTGTTAGGTTGGAGCCATCGAATTATGACTGTAGGAGGGATAGCTAGGAATATAATATGGAGTGCGAAAAAGAAAGCCATCGAGTGTGGGGATAACTAGAGGAGAGGTCAACCCCAACTTACCCAATAAAGACCCGCTGACGCCATTTTTGCTAGGCTCCACAAAGGGGCATGACGGGGTAGGACGGGAAGAACTCAACCCGGTATAGTAGGAGGGCTCACTGGGTAAACGCTATTCTCGTGGGCTAACGGGAATGGGCGCGTTGGAATACCGAAGCTACCCTCCAGGCTGGAAGGCGTCTACCCGGTAAGGTAGACAACGATAGTAACACACAGCTCTCATAAGTTACCCAGAATGGGCTTGGATAGGGGAACCGTTAACCCCGAACAGCTTGATAATTTGGTGCTGACATCGCTCTTTCCAGCTCCTTTCTTGGAGCAAGGGAGTGGTAAAGCTAATGTGGGATAGGAAAGATATCAACCCCAACATACCCATCAAAAACAGCCAAACTGCACTCTCTTAGCTTCCGAGTACAGATGTGAGAGAGCCATAAAGCTACTCTCCTACTAGAACGAAAAGATCTCAATCCCAACACACCCGACAATGGTTATATAAAGCCGCTCTGGTGTGCTTCTGGGGGGCAGCACGAAGTCAAAGTTACTACGGCGAGTCAACAACTACATAAGCTAAACTCTACGAAACCTGGATACCAGTACTGCACCCCACCACCAAGGCTAAAGGAGAAAACCCATGATTATCATTGTATAGGATCTAGGGATGGTTGGTTTCGGTATGAGTTTTTTTATAGCAATGGATGTGGGCGCGGGGATGTTGGAAAGGGTCGAGATTCTGGAGTCCATTAATGGCAAGAATGGTAGGAATAAGAGCTAAGATGGGATGCCGTATTCCTGGAAACACAGAGGACTTGCTAGGCCAGGAAATCCGTATGTATTGATTGCTATTGCTCTAGTTCTATTAAGATAGTGATATGAGATTTTACAAAGGTTGACTTATTTCACCCATTGCCCGACACATCTTTACTCATGAGTTCCCATATCCAAACATCCTCCGTCGGTTGCTGTCGTGATATCGCCGGGGTTGTTAGGAACTTCCTGATAACCACATGCCAGAAGCATTCTAGACGAATGTGAGGAGATACAAGGAGTGGTATGGATTGGAAAGAATGTAGTCGGTTGTTGGAATGAGGACGAGGAATGGTATGGATTGAAAGGAATGGGGTCACTTGGTGGACTCGGATATCTGGTCGGTTGGATTCTCTATAGTATATAGTGGTCATCTACTTCGGCGGTAGGAAGGAAGTGAATTAAGTTAAGAAAATACTTCACAATTCTTGCTCACTCAAAGCGATCATATCCTTCCCCGCAAAAGTGCCCAATTGAATTCTCCTCTTTACTCCACCTAAAATCTCTTTTCTACTTCAGTTGCCTACCTGTGAAGCTCCGAGTGACGAGTCATGGTGCTTAAAATTATACATAATTCCATATCCGGAATATTGGAAAGCTAAATGCAACGGCACGGAAGATCTAATGAGATCTATTTCTCTACTTTGCAGCTCCCCCAACCTTTCTTGCCTCACCGCTAATAAAGAGCTCTCTGAACCCCCAGGGAACGGGCAGGGGGGGGAGGGGGGGGGCGGAATTGCGAAAACTGTCTCCGGATGCTCCCGGTTTGGTGTTCAACACAAAGGAAGGCTCCCGGCGAGATCTTTGGAGCGGAGGTAGGCGCTCTCACGCTACTAGGACAAGGCCAACTACTAGAGGATCAAATTATTCCCAACACCTTAACATTTTAAGAACTAGAGGCTATTCATATGGCACTACTCCACTGCTGGAACTCGCAGTTGCAGAAGCATACTTTTAGGTCAATTTTGAGTTATTATCTAGTGAAAATGCTCTTGAGAAATGAAAGGACAGACAGAGAGATGGGCAGAGGATTGGTGGAAGTCTAGGGGCTAATGCCGGGAAAACCGATCTCCGTGGGTGATCCCCGGTGGCTTTGGTTCCTAGGACTTGAGTGCCCAGTTATTGCGGGCCGCTGTCACAGATTCAGCGGCTGTCCAGAGCTAACATCACAATCAGTCTGCACCCCCCTGAACCCCCCCGTTGGGTAACTTCCCCAGTTTTTCTCCCCCTACTCGCGAGTCCCTTGGCTGTAGTAGTCTCTTTCAATATGATAATGGTAGTGACTCTACCGTATTTTTGGTGGCGATCAAGTTTGTTTGCCATGGCCACCCCCTCAACGGTGGATATGGATTCGTGGGTGGGTGGCAAATTCTCAACGCACTATTCAATAGACAAGTATGGAGTTGTCTTACCTCCGGAAGTAACGCCATTTGTGGAGAATACCAGGTTGGTAAGCCGGCAGCTGTTGGGTCGCGGATCAAATGGAACAGCTGCCGAGGAATAGTGAGGTAGAGTATCAAACTCCCCCTGGCGATCCGTCATGGAAGCTGATAGGGGCTCTATGAAATATTCAGTTTTTGACAGCCCAAGGGATAGTGTCCCACGTGCCGAGAGACTCATCATCCCAGATCTAGGTGACTAAGACCCAGCGATTATCCGCCAAAACACGCATGTCAATCTACGTAAATTACATTCTCCCCCGTTTCCCTCCTCTGCAAAGATCTCTAGCATCCCGACTGATTTTACGGCAAATCCCTTTTTTCTTATGTACTTGCATCATTTCTGAGTAGGCCAATATCTAAATGCTCAACTACTGAGCTACCCAGCAGTAAAGAGCCATTGTTCTCCTATTCTCCTATGCGTAGTCAATAAATATCGGTAAGGTTTCCTTACCCTACCCGTGGTTGACCTGCCGTGTAGATTACGCGATATTACCCAAAATTCATCAACCCTACTTTGGCGATTATGATTTCCCAAGAAAGATATATCAAGATATACAGTATGCACACCCCTCCTTGAACAGTCTCTTGGGTGAATCTTTCCTTCAAGAAACAACATCATGAAAGGAGAACTGAAATCAAGAACTTCTATTTTGCATAAGCACCAAGGGGGGGCTCAGGAAAGGAGACAAAAAAACTAGCCCAATTGTTTTCCATAGTATATCATTTCGCTAAAGTACTATCGTAACCCCGTAAGATAGGAAATAACAATCCTGTTAGGGCCCCGCCCCCCACCCACGACTGGTCATAGAGGACAACAGTTTACTTAACCTATTGTCGAGAAAATGTCAACAATCACAGATACCGCACACATGCAGAAACAAAGGTAAATGGCCTGGCGGCCCGAAAACCCCACGTACACAATATCAGAGCACTCTGGGGTGCATGTCAGACAAAACGTCTATCCTACTGGAACCTTCCCAGCAACCACAGGCCCGGGTCTCCCCGGCACTAGTGGTTCGAGTGCTTGTTGTACCCTGCAACCTCCCCCGGCGCTGCCATCTTGGCCGTATGAGAAGGAGCAGAAATGCGGCTCAACAAGGTGGGCGTTGGAATAGTCATTGTAAATGAAAACAGGGCTGGGTATCTGAACTTCTGGGGTTGGGATGGAGCTTGAATCCGGCATGGTAGTGACAACTGCCGACGTAGGATCTTGAAGTGTGATTCCGAGGGCTTCCTATTCGCGATTATAAGATTAATAATTTAAGAGTGAATTATGCCTAAGTAGGAGAGCGAGGGATGGGCATACTTTGATGAAGCGAGAGGGTAATAAATGGGACACCCAACGACGGAATCGAGAGCTTCGAAGAGACACAATCCCCACAAGTAAAGTAAGGACAGCTACAACGAGCCCCACGATAGCTACTGGGCTTCTGCCATCGCCATCATCCACCCCCCTGTTTCCCCAATCATCACGTTTGTTGAATTTCGATAACATGATTTCGACCGGAATCCGGGAGGTGGTCGACATGATGACTCAACCTGATGCAGACTTAAGAAACTTGCCGGTACTGTGCGTTTTAGAAGGGAGTGCTGAGAAGTTGTTTGTTTGGGAGGAACCCCCTCAAGCATAAGGAACGGTGCGAAATTTGTAGGATTGGAAAAGTAAATGACCACTCCGAATGCTAAGCTATAATATGGATGGAACAGGAAGAGTTTAAATATACGTAAAATTTTGGAGAGTGCCACCGGGCAACGATGACAACGTGGAGGGTACCACTACCTATCTGAATGCCACCCCTGTATGATACCAGTCCTCCACAGTGTCCACACCCCCTGGTCCCTCGCACCGATAATCAGGGTCCGGTCTTTGTGATTGGCGGATTGATTGGGGTGGGAGAGGGTGGGGGGAACAAGCGCAACAACCTACCATCCTAATCCTTGCAACTGAGCAGTTTCCATTATCGGTTTCGCGTGACAATCACCTGCTGTCACCCGGCCCTGTAAATAAACTGAGCTTCATTCATCGCTAAGCCCCGCGGATCGCGTCCGAAATGCGCACAAAACTGAACAAAAAGCAATGGAACCCCCAGAATTTAGATGCCAAGACCTAATATCCAGGGTATCTAAGAGGTCCAGGAGGGTTTCGGCTGCAAGGCTTGGGGGACCGGACACCGGTAGGTATCCCTGTAGATATCGGGTTTTATCTACCGCAGCCGACGATTTTCTGTTACCGGTATCCAACTCTATCCAAACTTCTGATAAAAATGATGTCGCTACTACTGTACATTATGATATAACACAAATACTTAAATTTCCTTCCTCCTTCCCAACACCACGATCACCAAAAACGCTGGGCCTCGCTAAATTTAACTTAACAGAACGCTCCCGACCTTGTTCCCCGCCAGCCGCAACACCCCCGCAGACACAGCTTTGACTCCCTGACCGATGGGATACCTACGGTACCGACACGACCGTCCGCAACGGGCTTCAAGACGGGTTTACGATTTTACCTAAACCATGACTGACGGAATACTGCACGAGGGTGTTATAGGAGCGGATGTATTACTACTGTCCCCTCTCTTGATCATGCAGAGGCTACCGATACCGTACCGTACAGTAGAGTGCCGGGATACCGGACGTGGGTAGATCTTCTCCCGGGTGACGACTCCTACGAGTAGTGTCATAGCATACGGGCTTGGCGGCAAGAAAAACCAACCCCTCTGGCTTCCATACAAAATGCACATGTTTCGCCACCAGCCATAAATATGCACAACAATTAATTTCTTTTTTCTAGCCGCAATCCGATGGGGGAGAATCACAGACAATCCAACCCATAAAATCGGTGATTTAGCCTCCTCTGCTAGACACTAGCGCTAAGTCAATTGTAGTGAAACCCTCCCACATTTCTCCCTACAAATCCCAACCCTCGACTACCTCCTGAACTTGTGGGCTTGGGCTGTTTGGGGTACTGAGATTCCCTCTGAATATTCCAAGTCTCTTACGCTCCCAATTCCAATACATTCCAACGCGCTTGATTCCAGAAAAGGCCCATTGCAGAAGAATTAGAAGGAAGAAATTAGCGTGATAAAAAAGTGGGGGAAGAGAAAAAGCGCCCAGGTGGAACGACCGGTCCAGGTTACTTAGCCAGTACTTCAGGCAACCGTGCATATGAGAAATACACAGTGTGTCCGACTATGCTTCCCCAACCTCGAAAGATGAGCCTCCGATCTCCTGCGAGTTGACTAATCAAGAAACCGCTGAAATGGTCAACCCTGCTGACCGTGGGGCGCATGGGTGTCAACGAAGGGAATACCTTGGCGCCGCACGCCCTGATCCCAAAGGAGGAACCAGAGCGGTAGGGAAAAGAGGTTATGTCGCACCAGGAGGCCTCGGCAGCAGTGCAAGGGCTGACTAAGGCCTTACGGGGGATAAAGCAATCGGCGCGGGTGCTTTAAAAGTAATAGAAACACTCGAGGAATCGAGAGCGCTGAGACTCTAATAATCTACTATACCATACTGTATTTCCATACTTCACTCCCGAAACTGGTGTGGATTTGTAGATATTATTCGTCAGGAATTATAGACCTTGGTGTGCTCTCCACACATGCAACTGTGTGAAAACATCTTTTATAGTGCGTGCCATCCAAACGCGCACCATATTTTCAAGGGCTTTCCAATTGGAAAGGCCCCACAACTAGCAACGCTATGAGAGAAAGAAAAAAACCTCAGCAATAGAGAGAAGGTGGAGGAGAGCAGTTCTGAGGTTTTTCATTTTTTATTTACATTACTGGTTGAGGAGCCTTTCTATTTTAAACTGTTCAACTTTTGGTGATAGAAGGAGAAATGAGTTCATTAGCCACAGTTCGTAAGCTTAGTAATTGTATATTTGTGACTCAGGAAGCAGATTTTAACATGATAAATGGTTTTACCTTCCTGTTGTACTGTTGTATCAATTATGATTCTGTTTTTTCATCATTATAATTATATTACTATTTAAACCCTTTGACCTAAAATTATTTATTACAGAGAGTATGGCATCAAATATGTACAGGCACACGTAACACTTTTTTTGGTGCGGTGCACATTTTGAATGGCACTCACCATACTCAGGTTCCTATCATGTTGTATCACTCGGTTTGCACTTCCGACACCTGCTATGAACTCAGATCTCAGAGGCCTTCATATGCCCAAACAGGCCTCTTTCCATGTTTCCCACATTTTCACTGAGGCCCTCCTAACTCTCTGGACCTACCGGAGTCACCACTTCAAAGCCCAAAAACTACCACTCTTGGCATCATTTTAGCGCTTGCCCTCCAGGATTTTTCAGAGTGTGTTTTGATACCTGGCATTTAATTAACTGAAGCTTCATCTCAAATTGTGCCACTTAAAGAATTGCCAGATATGCGGTAGCGGGTAGATGTCTCGAGGAATGTGCATGTTATGCGAAAAACCTAGCACCGGTGCTTAGAAAAAACAAAGAGTTTCTTTTGCCGCCAAGTTCCTATAGTATCGTACTGGCAAGCTCATTTGTCGACGGGAGCGTCTGTAACCCTAGCCCGCCACTATCCAATACCCGTTGTACCCGTGTTGCTGGCCCGAGGCTGTGTTCTTTTCTGGTAGGTCATCACAGAAACAGGAGCGACTTCAATCCAGCGAGTTGAGCACTGCAGTGTATCAGAGAGCACTTCACCGCCGAGCTCAACGGTGAAGTTAGCAGTACAAAAAAAGACACCAGCAGCATCAATTTTAAGCTACCGAGGGACCTTTGTGCCCAAATGATTTCTATCTAAACACTGAGGTTCGAATATGGATTCCATGGAAGGAGGGAACCTGAAACTACCAGCTGGTCCATTTGCTATGCGGACGGTCCACAACCCTAACCCTGACCTATCACAAAAAGAATCATAGCACGAGTGCTTTGAATAATTCCACCTATGGTAGATGTCCAAGGAAATGGGGTAATCTACGGTTTCCTGTGCGTATCCCATAACGCTAGCCATTATTTATCAATTATAGGGAAATTCACTCACTTTCAGCACGGGAGGGATGCCCCAGCAAATATATCCTAGAACATTTTTGTTCGTATAAGGTTTCTTTCTCCTCTCGAATGCTTCTTTCAGATCTTTATTTTCTTTCAAGTCTGGTCCTACTTAGAACTAGGATATGTTGTCCCTTTTGTTGTTTCCGAATGGTTTCCGTGAGGATCATTGTTTCTCTTGATTCCTTACTGCGAATGTTCAGGAATCTAGGTAGTAATAGCAAGGTGAAAGCACCTCACTATATAGCTGAACCGGGTTCTCCTTGTAGTTCGAGTAGTATCAGTTCTTTCTTTATGTTCAAAAACAACCTTAACTATTCTCTATTACTTCTCCGTCCAACGCAATCGCACATTGCTACAATTTTCCTAATCTATATCTCGAGTGATAATAAATGATCTAAAACCCCCCCAAGCAATACCACTGAATCTAGCCACACCAATCGCCGTAGTAACATATGGATATGAAGGGAAACTGAGTGTAATATTACTTGGAAACACCAGAGCTCCAAATTTTAAACTTAAATTGTGGAATTACCATCTGCCCCATGGCTAGCGAAAAACTGCTAGGCTGTGCTAAGTAAACCAGTGAGTTATACAATAGACCTTGAGTATCCCCAGACCATGTTTGGAAATAGTAATAGGTTCGAAAAAGGGCAGCTCGTGCGGCCAAGTCTCTCTTTTTGTAAATCATATCTCAAACACTAGCGCTGCGAACTGACTGGATTGAACCTAGTGAGAAGCCCCAGCACCGCGTCAAGATGTCAATCCAAGCTGAGGTACCTAGATAAACCAAAAGTTAGCCTCGTATCGCAAAATATTAGAATGTGCCGGATACAGGGGCGACATCTCCAAACCGAAAGAGCTAGGGGCTAATTGTCTGTAATTTTTCTGGGATCGCAAAAATGCAAAAGAATTCAAAGGGAGAAGAGATGGGAGGGGAAGGAAAGGAGGGGAAAGGGAAGGAGGGGAAAGAGTAGGAGGGGAAAGGAAGAAAGGGAAGAGGGAAGAGGGGAAAAGGCAAGAATGGAAAAGGGAAAGAGGGAAAATGAAAGTGGGCGAAAGGGAAAGGGTAGTAGAGGGAGGGGAAGGGGAAAGGGAAGGAGGGAGAAGGGGAGAAAGGGAAAGGAAAATGGGGGAAAGAGTAGGAGGGGGGAAATCAGAGGGAGGGGGAAGGGAGGGGGGAGGTGGGGGAAACAAGCCCCGGGAAACCAGCCCTTCACGAATTCCTCGCAGTCCCTAATAGCCACAGCCAATGACAACAGAGGGGGTGCGGAAGAGGCGGAAGAGGCGGAAGAGGGGGTCACGGGAGCGAGGAGTGGAAGAGGTGGGGGAAGGCGGGG